TTATGGTTATTAGACATACTCATGGGGATTATTAGATTTCATAATGAGCAATGATAATAGGAATCACATAGAGCCCAGCAGAGAATATTTGCTCAATACATTTTTGTTAATATATTTAGGAATTTAATATAGTCTCTCAGTGTCTTAGTCCTAGGATGTCTTATTTAAAATACTCCCTGAAAGTTTATTCTGATGTTTATTTTAGCCATCAAACCCTAAAATAATAAATTGGTGAATATGAGTCTTATAATCTGTGGTTAAAGTGAATATATTTGCCACTAGTAGAACAAAAATAGATGATGAAAATGAATTAACGTATCTATATAGTTACAATTCTAGCATTAGAATAAGCCTTATAAATAAGTACAATATAGGACTTCAGTCTTGCTAGACTCCTAATTCTAAATTCTACTTTTTTAATCAACAGAACTTTCATTCATTTTTAAACCCTAAAATTTATACCCACACTATTCTTACAAAAATATTCACATGAAATAAAAATTTGCTATTGATTTGGTGTCATATATTATTAATTTTAACAGGATTGTTGGGGAAAAAAACTTTAATTTTCCTTTTTTGTATACTTGGTATTTCACAGTATGACCAACAAAAGCTACTAAATTGATGATCTGTATCATTCTCAATGTAGTATGATAATAGTTCCAATTTATTAATCATTTTAATACGCCAGGAATACTAAGTGTTTTGCATGCATGAACTAAACAATTTTTTAAAAGATAGATATGATCTGGTTAAAAGCACGTCCTCTGGAAAAATGGGGATAATAATATTGCCTCCCTCATAGAGTTTATGGAAGGATTAAAAGAGTTAAGAAATTTAAGGCATTTAAAATAATGTATGTCACAAATAAGCCATATATAAATGTTAGTAATTATTTCTTATGATTATTACTATCCTCCCCCTCATTACAGAAGAGAAAAATCAAGTTTATAGAGTTTAAAATACTTGCCCACTTTTAGCTAACTAAGTAGGTAACAGAGTGGTAATTTCAAATTGTGTTCTTAACTGCCACACCACAGTGCTTTCCTCAACTCTTCTTTCTCTAATGAAGAGATTACATTACATATAACGTAGTATTATTCACATACATAATACAACTTGATACATAAATAGCATATTGTATATACTATAATAATTATAGGATATCAGGCATCTCACTCATTATGTCTGGTGGTTTCCCACTGAAACTTGACAAGACCAGCTCCTGAGACATGGCACAGTGATGACACCATGTTTATACCTCCTGAGATGCAGATGTCTTCTGTTTTTGTGTGCATGTATTGAGTTATTCTGTTTACATGCAGGGAAAGAGTAATTTAGTTGCCACTCAGTGCCACCTGGATTCCTTTACACTGCAAACATTAAAATCTGGGTGTACAATTGTACAAACCTAGCGTGTTGCCCATCCATATGCAAAATCATCCTTCCCCTTCATTCTCTCTGCTGCTAACTCAGAAGGGGCTTCAAGTCTCAGGTTAATAAACATGTATGAATTACAAAATGTTCTGCAACAGTGATTGTGTTGGATACAGGATGTTCATAAATACAGTCATGTTTTGCTCAACAATTGGGACACATTCTGAGAAATGCATCATTAGGTGATTTTATCATTGTGTGAACATCATAGAGTGTGCTTACACAAACCTAAATGGTATAGCCTACTACAAGCCTAGGCTATATAGTATAGCCTATTGCTCTTAGGCTAGAAAACTGCACAGCATTTTACTGTGGTGAATACCATAGGAAGTTGTAACACAATGGTAAGTATTTGTGTATCTAAACATATGTAAATGTAGAAAGATATAGTAAAAATATGGTATAAAAGAGTAAAATCATACACCTGTATAGAACAGTTACCACAAATGGAGTTTGTAGGACTGCAAGTTTCTCCGGATGAGACGGAATGTGAGTGGTGAGTGAACGTGAGTGCCTGGGACATGACTGTACACTTCTTTAGGCTTTGTAAACACTGTACACTTAGGCTACACTAAATTTATAAAAATATTTTTTCTTCAACAAATTAACCTTAGATTACCGTAATTTTTTATTTTTAAACTTTTTAATTTTTAAACGTTTTGACTTTTGTAATAACACTTTAAACGCATTGTACAACTGTACAAAAATGTTTTTTCTTTATATCGTCATTCTATAAGCTTGTTTTCTATTTATTTATTTATTCATTTATTTTAGAGATGAGGTCTTTCTCTGTCACCTACACTGTAGTGCAGTGACATGATCACAGCTCACTACAGCCTCAAACTCTTGGGCTCAAGTGATCTTCCTTGATCTTCACTACAGATGTGCACCATCATGCCCAGCTAATTTTTAAAAACTGTTATTGAGAAGGGGACTCATTTGGTTCCCAGGCTGCTTTTGAACTCCTAGTCTCAAGTGATCCCCCTGCCCCAGCCTCTCAGGCTGGCATTACACCTGTGAGCCATAGAGCCTGGCTAATTGTTTTTTGTTTTCTTTTGTATTTTTTATTTTTCACACTTTTCTGTTAAAATTAAGATACAAAAACTCATATCAGCCTAGGCCTACATGGAGTCAGGATCATCAGTATCACTATCTTCCAACTCCCTGTTTTATCCCACTAGAAGTTCTTCATGGGCAATAATACGCATGGAGCTGCCATCTCCTATGATAACAGACAGAAGATAACAACTCATACTTCCTGAAGGATCTGTCTGAGACTGTTTCACAGTTAATGTTTTTTCTATAACTAGTAGAAGGAGTATACTCTAAAATAATAATAAAAGGTATAGTTAGTAAATACATAAACTAGTAACATAGTTGTTTGTTATTCTGATCAAGTATTGTGTACTATACATAATTGTATGTGCTATATACTTTATAGAACTGGCAGTGCAGTGGGTTTGTTTACACCAACATCCCACAAACATGTCAGTAATACACTGTTTCCTATGACTTTACAACTGTGAGGCAGTAGGAATCACATCACTAGGCAACAGGAATTTATCAGCTTCATTATAATCTTAAGGGACCACTGTCATATACGCAGTCTATTATTGACCTAAATGTTGTTATGTGCTGCACTACTGTATATAAGTCACAGAGAATTGCACTTGAAAAGATCACTATGCGGTAGGACAGGCAGATAAGTAGGCAAATAATTGCAACTATATATTACACATGCTAATATATGTATGCTTCAATTGCTTGAAGGAGCAGATACATGAGCATGTTAAAACTTCATCATCATCATTTTCAACTCATCATCTTTGCTAAGGTAGCACTTTGAATTGAGTCTATACCAGTACACTGAAACAGTGACAAATGTTATAATCTCTGATTTCATAGTGTTTTCCAGTTATGAAACAAAACCATTTTTAACACTATGAAATACACACATACACACACACACATATGTATCTCTATGTAATATGTGTGTGTGTGTGCGCGTGTGTGTGCATGTGTGTTACCTGTGAGAAACAGGAAAAACACAGTTCTGCAAGATAGAAAGGCAAGAGAACATGATTGCATAGAGTTGTCAGGGAAGGCCCCTCTGAGGAACTGATACTTAATCCGACTCCAGAAGTATAAATAAGTCGTAGTCAGCTGAAAAGGAAAGTGGTGGGAGAGTAGGAGGAAGAAACTACTCAGCTCAACAATTAAATTGCATATTTCTATAGCAGTCCAGTCCTACCATGTATTAGAATATCAGCTTTTCCATGCAGTGGTCTCCTGACACCCTTCACCACTGTTAATCAGTGTGACAGAGAACCTCTGACTTCGGGTTGAGGGTGCACCCTGCCCTAATAAAGGGCCAAAGTCATTCTTTTTCAGTCCACAGGGATCTCTTCTCCTTTTCTGTGTGGGATTCTATTGCATCCCCTCCACTCTCACCTTCCATCATTCTCACATTCAACTCCCAGATGCCCTGAATCCTCCCGCAGAAACCATCACTGCTCCCCGCCAACAGTTCAGCCCATCTCACCCTGTCACTGGCACTGGCTGAAAACACAGCAGGCACTGGGAGACATGGCCTAGCAAACTCTTCTTGTCTTCTCTTCTGGACAGTTATTCAGCATGGAAACAATGAAGAAACAGCCAGGCACTAAGCTTTTACAAAAAGAATGCATTCAAATATTACTTCCGCAATTTTTCCAACAGTACAAGTATGGGAAAACAGACCTTGTGTCCCACAGCATACTGGGTAATTGTCGGTGGAGCCTGGTAAATCCCATCTAGAGACTAGGGAATTTTTCCACATTCAGGTGAAATTCAGAAGAGTCATTGCCTAGAGAACAAATTAAACTCATTAGCAGCAGAAAATAATTGCAAATAACACACCTTTCACACACAAAGCCACCAAACTCAGTAGTAAGCATTGGTAGTTGCAGCTGGGAGGTTGGAAAGGAAACAGAACTGTCAGGGTCCTGAAAGTGCCTAGTGTGTAAGTTGCATGATGACAACAGAGAACTCTATTATTAGTACAACACAAAAAAAATTCCTCTTCTGACTCAAGTTCTGTTTCTAACTCTACAAATGTGCTTGTATGTAAGTTGAGGTTGGAGGTCCCAGCCAAGGCTGCTGCCCAGAGCCCTTTTCTTTCTTTCTCTCTTTCTTTCTTTCTTTCTTTCTTCTTTCCTTCTTTCTTTCTTTCTTTCTTTCTTTCTTTCTTTCTTTCTTTCTTTCTTTCTTTCTTTATTTCTTTCTTTCTTTCTTTTCTTTCTTTCTTCCTTTCTTTCTTTTTCTTTCTTTCTTTCTCTTTCTTTCTCTCTTTCTTTCTTTTTCTTTCTCTCTCTCTTTCTTTTCTTTCTTTCTTTCTTCCTTTCTTTACTTCCTTTCTTCCTTTCTTTTCTTCCTTTCTTCCTTTCTTTTCTTTCTCTTTCTTTCTCTCTTTCCTCCTCTTTCCCCCTTTCCCCCTTCCCCCCCGCCTCTCTCTCTCTCTCTCTCTCTCTCTCCTTTATTTTTTTGTAATCTTGGCTGGCCAGAGCCCAAGTCTTCCCAGCAGTATCTTAGTTTCCGCACCGCCGTTCCTCGCTGTCCCCTTCAGGCTTCCGGACTGGAAGGACAGCCGGCGATAAAACGCGCCTGGTGAGGCTCAGGAGTCACTGGTCACAGAGACCCAGTCCGACTTTCCCATCGTACTGAGATCCTGCTGGAAACTCTGCTGCAACATGAGCTCCGCAGCCCGGTTCTGCCCCTCACGCCCCGTGCTGCTGTTTCTGGCGTTGCTGCTCCTACCAGTTGTGGTCGCCTTCGCCACAGGTGAGAGCAGAAGCAAGGCTGTGAGGGCCGCCAGCGGCGAGGGGGAGTCCGGGAAGCCCTGAGGCTGGGGAGTCCTCTAGGATCATGATCGCAGCTACACTTAACCGAGCGCCTGCTGACTGTCCGGGCACAGTGACAGGCGCTACACCTGCACCTCGCACCTGGTCAGCACAACTTCTGTCTGAGGCAGGTATGATTTACGGCTAAGGAAAAGAAGGCTGAAGGTAGTGGAGAAAGTCCCTAAAGTACCTCTGGCTACTCATGGAGTCATCATTCCGTCCCCTCCTCCTCTCTTACCCCCTCCCTTTTCCCCTCAGCTGAAGCTGAAGAAGATGGGGACCTTCAGTGCCTGTGTGTGAAGACCACCTCCCAGGTCCGTCCCAGGCACATCACCAGCCTGGAGGTGATCAAGGCCGGACCCCACTGCCCCACTGCCCAACTGATGTGAGTCCTTGCACTGCATCACTCAGTGCCCCGGCTCCGTGCCTCCTCTGCCCATCCTTCTCCTTTTTAATGCCATCTGCAAACCCAAGAACTGAAGGTCACATCTCTTCTCTTTTCCTTGCCAGAGCCACGCTGAAGAATGGGAGGAAAATTTGCTTGGACCTGCAAGCCCCGCTGTACAAGAAAATAGTTAAGAAACTTTTGGAGAGTTAGCTACTAGTTGTCTAAGTGTGTGCATTTGCTTTGTAACATACTTTTTTTTTTTCCAGTTTCAATCTAACTGTGAAAGAACCTCTGATATTTGTGTTATCCCTATGATTTTAAATAAACAAAATGAATCAAGTTGTAGTATAGTCAAAATACTTCTTAATAATAGTGCAAAAATTGCATTGACACATAATTTCATGGAAGAAAAAAATTCCGGTATTTTAAGCAAAAAGTATTTTGAAGGAAGGTTTGAATACTGGCTTTGCTTGGTGTTACATGTTGGCTGATACATATTCATGCATTTACATGATTGCAGTACTTTATAGCTACAATTTACCTGGACGATTATTATTACCTTTGCCAATAAATATTAGTAGCACTTATGCATTACTAGATGGCTTTTTAAAAAATTAAGTAAATAAATAAATCTCTGCTTTCATGCCCACAAATTCTGGAAACGAGGAGAGGTACTACATACTGATGTTTTTATTCATCCCTCAGGAAGGCACTGCTCTACTCTGGGGAGAAAGGAAGTTGTTGCAATGTTGGTATATTAGTTATCTATGGCTTCTGTAACAAATTAACACAAACTCAGTGGCTTAAACAATACAAATTTATTATCTTTCAATTCTAGAGGGTTACAAATCCCAAGTGGGTTGAACATGCCAAACTCAAAGTATGATCATAACTATGTTTCTTCTGAAGGCTCTAGAAGAGAATCTATTTCCTTTCCTTTCTCAGCTTCTAGAGGCATCTACATTCTTTGGCTTATGGCCCCTCCAACTGATTTTCAAACTGCATCATTGAACCTCTGCTTCCATTGTCACATCTCCCCTCTCTCCTCTGACCTTTCTGTCTCTAACTCTACCTACCTCTCATAAGGAGCTTTGTGAATACATTGGAACCACTTAGATAATCTAGAAACCATTTCCATTTCTAGATATTTAATACATCTGTGGAGACTTTTTTTTTTTTTTGCCACATTAAATGACATATTCATAGGTTCCAGAGAGTAGGGCATGGGGATCTCAAGGGTGGGAGACATTATTCACCCTACCACAATGGGTCAGAAGGCAGAGTCTAGCTGAGGAGTGAGAAAGCTGCAGCCATTGCTCATGAGCTAATGTGAATTTTACCCAAGGTGACAATGTTTGCATAGACACAGGATAAAAATCGTAAGAGAAAATAGAACACGGTGCCATTGGTGGTGGAAAGGCTAGGTTTTTAGGATGACAAACTAATTAGAACAAACATAATTTATAGATGCTTAGGAAATGCCAGAATATCATCTAAAATTCCCACACCCACATTGCAAGTTAGAGAGTACTATTCCCAATATAGAGATGAGCTGACAGTCTCAGGGAGGACACAGCTTGCGAGAGGCTGAGCAGATAAGTCTGACTCCCGAATTCCTGTTCTTGCTTTCACATTGTTCTGCCTTTCACACAGGCAAGGAGCATGTTAGCTAATTCTTCAGACACGAACTGTCCCATGAACTAGCCCTTGAAGGGGGAGTAGGAATTTGCCAGGGGGATAAAGGGAAGACAGGAACTGTCACCAGATGAATAATGTGTAAAAAGGACACTAGATAATTAGGTCATTTGCATGTTTGGACAATAGTTCATAGTTCTGCAGGGCTGGAATATCTATGGAGAGAGAGAGCGAAGCAAGGTCTCTCAACTAGTTTTCACCCTCTTGGTGTTTTTCATCTATGATACAACTTGTGCACTGCTACCCATATTATGTATTCAAAACACAGATAGAAATATTTCACTACCCTGCATAAATCATTCAAGATCCAAAGTCCTTAGCATGGCAGTCTGCACTGTGTCACACTCACTTTCCCACTGTGCCGTAGTTTTCTCATCTGTGAAACAGGGATATTATGAGTGGCTACTTCATAGATGATCATGAGAACCAAAGTCAATCATTGCTGGAATGTTGGTGCCTCATAAATTACTGCTTAAGAATTACCTTGATCTAACTATACTGAGAACACTTTTAAGTTGCCACGTTTATCAGCAAGGGCATGGGAAGATGGCTTTCCTGTTGGGAAAAGCTCAAGTCACACAGTAACTCCCTGTTGTTTCAACAGTCATGGAGTGATAAAGTTTAAATTTACTCAAACTCCTTGTTAGTTTAAGCAGTCATCAGAAAATGTCCACAAACTAGACACTTACTGCTTAGTCATGGGCTCTATCAATAAAACAAAACCACCAAAGAATATTTTGTTCTTGGAAGCTGTTCTGCATTTTTGCAATTTTTCATTTTTTTCTTCTAAGGATTGTGGTAAAAATAGCTTCTTCAGTAATGTATAAAACATTGAAGGTTTAGTTGGTTTTAAATATATATTCATATTTTTCTCTTTATAAAAGGCAATTCTTATTTATTGCAAAGAGCAGAAAATATAGATGAAATAAAAATATTTTTCATAACCTGTAATTTCACCACTCAATTTTTTATTTTTGAAAATCTTAGTCATTTGATATCCTTGCAAGTTGAACTGCTAGCTTTTAATAAAGTATTTATTTGTACACACCATAAAGAAGAACACTTAGTAATTTACTTAATTATATTGCTATTAGTTAGGGAGCATTGCTGTCCAAATTTTAATAGTATGAAAGCATGTCCCAGGGTAATATAAAATATTTTCCTTGGCTGGAGAACAAATGGCTAACTCATGTGATATTGCATTAACTTATACATATATAGTCCTGTGTATATTTATATTCACTGTGTCTATGTGTATATGAATATATGCATGTTTTTCTACACCTTTACATAAGTATATACTCACGCACATAAAACAAGCTTACAATACAATACTTATACCTGCTTTGTACTATGCATCCTGATATTTTATTTTCTATCCTATCCTATCCTACCATATTCCACTTTTTAAAAGATGTTGGCCACAACTCTATAATATGATTTTATAACCCACTGATGGATCATGATGTGTAGTTTAAAAGCACTAATCTAGTCCATTGATTAAAAAGTTAGGTTCTGATGGTCCATATTGGAGCCCACACTCCAAAGAAGATGCATGGGGAGTCAGTAAGAACAGGATGCTGAGGACCAACTGGATAGTTAAATCTCCTGGTCTGTAGTTTTCCTTCAATTTCAATCTCCATCCCTGACTTAGGGTTGGAATCTCTGGGAAACCCATGAAAAATAGCGTCTGTGGTAAAGATGTCACACCAAACAGGATGTTGTCTGGACTGTTGGGATTCTAAGTCCTTTTCACCTGGGGCTACCATTTATATTCATTAGCCATCTACTTCAGTCAGGTACATTCTACTTGCTTCCTAATGCAAACTTAATAGAGGACTGAAAATACATTGATTTCTGGGAAGACTTGGATAAAAAGCAAGCATGTTCACAATTAATGGACTTAAGTAGCTGTTTTATGCTTATTCCCTCTCTCCATATGGCTCTTTTCCCTGTGAGTCCTGTAGATGCTGGCATTAGCCCAGTGAGCTTTTGAGTAAGTTTGGGTTATATCTCAACTTTGATTCTGTGTGACCCCAAGTCTCCTCAGTTTCCTTATCTGCAAAATAAGGACAATAAGGTCCACTTCATAGGGCTCTTGGAAGGAATACATCACACTTATAATAGGACCCAGCATGAATTCTGACTCAGAATTGGAACCTAGTAAGTAAATAGGACTTTTATTCCCTTTCCTTGGAGTTTCACCACCAGAGTGTATAAGATTTCCAATAGTGACAGCCACAATCTGTGAGCTAGCAAGCAACCTGTTGAGAACACAACCAACAAGAACTTCCCCTGCTCAGAATCACAATCAAAAGCAGACAACGAGTTAAGAAGATTTTAACATGATAGACCAAGATGATATTTTCCACTTACAGTAACAAATAAAAGAAAATTAAATACCAAAACCACAATGTTGATGGGCTGCTTATGATGGCCAATTAAAACCATTTTATGCCTGCCTCCTCCACTTAGAAAAACCAGAGTAGTATATAGACAGTGACAATATGAGTACATTATTCAAGAGATGATGCTGGAATTCAGCAGAGAAGTAGCAGGAGAAACTAAAAGCTGAGAGGAAGGAGAGGCAGCCTCCTTTCCCAGAATAGGCTGGGAGCTGGGAGTGACTTCCTAACGCAGAGAAGGGGCAAGTAATATACTTCTAGCGGTTCATATCCCTACTGTGAAATAGTATAACCCTCGCCATGAGAGAGCCCTTTGACCCTCCCAAACCCTGAAACTAACATGAAGACCAGCCAGGAGACTGTAGGATGGAACTGCTCCAGGGAAAGAGCTCACACTAGGTTCCACATTCTTTCTGAGACCTAAGTGGCTACAGCAACTAGCTTCTGCCAACTTCATGCTATCCTGGATTCAGCAGTGCTGGGACTGGAGCATTATCAAAACTTGGCTTGTCACTGCTGGGACAGGAGAGCAAGTAGGGATCACTGTCCTTGCCAGGGCTAGGAAGTGAGCTAGGCCTGAGAGGCAGCAACTGATGCCAGGAAGTGAGTGATCTGAGGTGGGATCATGAGGTGAGTGAAAGCTGCTGCTGGGACTTGGTTGCAAGCTGAGTGAGGGCTCTTGAAGCCAGGGTAGGGGAGGCAAATCCCATAAGGACTAGGGTTTGAAGGGGTTGCATGTTCCCCATCTGCCAGCACAAGGATGTGACCAAAGGGATGCCTCACCCTCTTCAGTGGCAAGACCTCAACAAAGCTTCTTCTACCCCTGCCCATACACTCTGCCTGGGACCTGAGAATTGCTCTGCTCTTGCTGGCCATGTCTAGTGCCTACTCTCACAATCAGGGTGCCTGAGCACAAGCTATCCAACCTAGCCGCACCCCCACCTCTTCACCAAAGCACATAGCTTGGGGTCCCGGAGACTGTCCAACCCTATCCACCACCCTGGGAACTTAAGTAACTCTTCCAGGGGCCTGGGGTGTGGTCTAAACTCCTAGCTTCTACCACCTCAACTGGCACCTACCTCCCAAATGGATATCCTGTGGGCCTGGATACTGGTGCACCCAGCCCACTGTAGCCACTGCCAACATCAACACACACTGCTAGGGACCCAGAGAATCTTCTTTCCAGTGCTACTTTGAATGCCCATGTCACGCCAACTGCCCCGAGGCCTGAGAACCTGCCCACCAACTGATGTACCATTGCCACTATCGACCTCCAAGCATGCTGCCTAGAGGCCCAAGAATTAACACACTGGTAAAAACCAAGACATGTAGCAGTGTCCACTTCCCTAGGGCATAAAGATAGGCATACTCAGCCAACTGCTACCACCGCTGTGGCCTAAAGACTGGCCCATAAAACATACTAGTCCGCAGCAAAATTTCACCAGTCTCCGTTAATGACTGCACCCTAACTCATGAAGGAAATC